AGCAAAGGAACTGAATGGGGCTCTCCAGGACACTGCTATGATCCAGCAAGCTCAGCTCCCTGATCAGCAGTTGCCAACAGTTATTAATGTTTCCTAAACAACTGCAGCCAAGCAGGCCAGAGTGAGTCAGGACCAGTGTCCCCTCTAAGCTGAGTTAGTGTGAGCCAGCTCACAGTTCTTTACCCTCCGGCTCACACATTTCTGTCTTAGCTCAGGAAGGAGGACTCCGGAGCAAACTGATTTATGCAGCAGCCAAACGGCTTGCTCACAACTTTAATGCCAGGAGCTCACAAAGCAGAATTCTTGCTCACAAGACTCTGCAGCTTAGAGGGAGCCTTGGTCAGGACAATGGATTTCAACGAGGGAGACGCTAGAAACAAAAAAAAGAAAAAACCCCACTACCATCAGATTTCTGGGAGACGGCAAAATCTCCTTAAATGGGAACAAGCCAAATTGTGTTTTGTTCCACAAGCTGCCCCTGGAGATCACAAATCCCAGTTATAGCCTTTATTAACTCGGTTGAGGGTCACCGTAATCCTCAGGTGCTGACTGGGATTTCTCTCCCTGCCCTGGAGAGGTGGAGTCAGGTTTTCAAACCTCGGCAGAGAGAGAGAGTGAGAGAGAGAGAGAAACAGAGAGAGAGAGAGAGAAACAGAGAGAGAGAGAGATTGGGTATTTTTCTGTCTTTTATGAATTCCCCCACCTTTTAAAAGCCCTCGGTTGCGATGGAAACCCCTCTTCCGCTGACCTTAAATACAGAGAAACAAGGACCTGCCTGATGTACTCTCTAGGGTTTCCCCCTTTTTAAGCTTCTCTCTCTTTTATGCCCAGTGATAATTTACATCCCAGGGAACAGCGTTCAGAACGGGCTTGAAAGAACCTGCGGGGGGGTACCCGTCGGCCACTGACGGAGGTTCACAAAACTTTGACCTTCCTTCCAGTTACTTGCGGGGAAATCTCTGCATTGCAAAGGATTCTGGGGGAAGTGCTCCGAGGGGGCACACTTGGGGTGAACCTGCACGTCCCAGGTTTGCAGCGGGCTCCCAAATCCAGAATTGCTGTGCAACTCTAATGCTGAAGCCGTACCTATTTGTTTTACGGAGAAAACGTATTTGCGGGGGAGAATCAGTGGGTGCCCAGTTCTCTTCCCTCCTTGTCAATTCTCCCTACAACCTCAGGTATCTTTTCCTCACCCTCCTTCCAAGGTTCAGAGACAGGGAATAAGCTTGGCTTCTTTGGAGGGGATTAAGCTTTTCTATCCTTAAAGACCAACATGATTTTCAGGTCATGAGCTTTCAAGGGTCAAAGGTTCTTTCATCAGATACAGGTAGGGATGGAGATCCGCCCCCTCTAAGCTGTGGAGTCTTGTGAGCAAAAAATTCTACTCTGTGAGCTACTGGCATTAAAGTTGTGAGCGAGCGATTGGGCTGCTGCATGAATCAGTTTGCTCTGGGGCCACCCTTCCTGAGTGAAGACAAAAATCTGTGAGCTGGAGGCTAAGAAACTGTGAGCTAGCTCACACTAACTCAGCTTAGAGGGAACACTGAATTCGTGGGAGATCTCCAGGTGGCAACTCTACTGATTTAGCAGGAGCTTATTCTGCAACTCCTCAACCCCTAGTTTTGGGGCTTTGAAGACAAAAATGGGTGAGCCGGAGGCTAAAAAACTGTGAGCTAGCTCACACTAACTCAGCTTAGAGGGAACACTGAATTCTCAGCTTACAGGGAACACTGCCAGAGACCTTTATCCTAGTCTGAAGGTGGGAGGGGTGGCACAGAAGGAGGAGGAGGAGATTGGATTTATACCCCGCCTTTCACTACCCAAAGGAATCTCAGAGCGGCTTACAATCTCCTTTCCCTCCCCCTCCCAACAACAGGCACGCTGTGAGGTCGGTGGGGCTGAGAGAGCTCTTGACAGAAACTGCTCATGCGAGAAGAGCTCTGAAAGAACTTGTGACTGACCCAAGGTCACACACACCAGCAGCTGCACATAAAGAAGTGGGGACTCCAACCCGGTTCTCCCAGATTAGAGTCTGCACTCCCCAGCACTACACTAAACTGGCTCTAAGGACTCTGGGATCTCCATTCTTACTCATATCTGACGAAGGGAGCGTTGACGCTCGAAAGCTGGTGCCCTGAAAATCCCGTTGGCCTCTATGGTGCTAACTGGACTCGAATCTAGCTCTTGAAGACCAACATGACGACTCTCTGAAACTTCTTTTAATAAATTGGGTCTGGGTTGCCAGAATTTGTTCTTTGTGTTCTGGGGCTCTGGAAAGCAGGGAGGCCAAATTTCATCCTCTGGTCCAGGAAAGCCCTTTTCTCCTCCTCTCCCATGAAGACAGTTTCAGAGGGTAGCCGTGTTGGTCTGCAGTAGAACAGGTAGATCTGAATCCAGAAGCACCTTAGGGACCAACAAGATTTTGGGGGTTTGAGCTTTTGAGACTCAAAGCCTCCTTCATCAGACACAGGTGACCCAATAGATGTTGGTGTAGTGGTTTGGTGCCAGTTTGGTGTACTGGTTAAGTGCACGGACTCTAAACTGGGAGAACCGGGTTTGATTCCCCACTCCTCCACTTGCACCTGCTGATGTGACCCTGGGCAAGCCATAGTTCTGATAACAGCGGTCCTTGAAAAAGAGCAGCTTCTGTCAGAGCTCATTTGGAGTACTGTGTACAGTTCTGGTCACCACACCTCAAAAAGGATATTATAGCATTGGAAAAAGTGCAGAAAAGGGCAACTAGAATAATAAAAGGGTTGGAACACTTTCCCTATGAAGAAAGGTTAAAGCGCTTGGGGCTCTTTAGCTTGGAGAAACGACGGCTGAGGGGTGACATGATCGAGGTTTATAAGATTATGTATGGGACAGAGCAGCTCGAGAAAGAAGTACTTTTCTCCCTTTCTCACAATACGAGAACTTGGGTGCACCCAATGAAACTAATGAGCAGTAAGTTTAGAACAGATAAAAGGAAGTCTTTCTTCACCCAAAGAGTGACTAACATGTGGAATTCACTGCCGCTGGAAATGGTGGTAGCTACAAGCATAGACAGCTTCAAGAGGCGATTGGATAAACCTATCAGTGCTGTTAGCCACAAGGTACAGATGTGGCTGTTAGCCACAAGGTACAGATGGAACACTATGTCTGGGGCAGTGATGCTCTGAAGTCCTGGTATTTGGGGGGCAACAGTGGGAGGGATTCTAGAGTTCTGGCCCCACTGGTGGACCTCCTGATGGGACATGGTTTTTGGCCACCATGTGAGATGGATTGTTGGACTGGATGGGCCACTGGCCTGATCCAATATGGCTTCTCTAACGTTCTTACGTTATCGTTCCATATTCTCCTCTGAGATTAGGTTCGGAGAAAGTGATTGGCCTCCAGTCACCCAGCAAGATTCGTTAGCAAGGTGGGGATTTGAACGCGGGCCTCCCCAGCCTTACTGCTGCAGCACCTTGGTCCCGGTCAAAAAAGGCAGAATCCAGCCATCCTCACAACCCTTCTCGCAGGGGTTCAAGAGTGCACCCGGCCCCACTTGAGCCTTGATTTTGTCCCAGGTAAAGTGCAGGAGGCCGACCCTGAAGGACTCTGGGGCGCAGCAGGAGATTCTGGTTGATGTGGGGTGGTTGGGGGTCATGGCAAGCACTTTGTGTTTTCTGTCTCACTCTTCTTCCAAATGGTGGCAAACCGAATGGGCGGTGCGGTGCAGGGTTTCCCAGGAAGACCCCTATCCAGGCATGGGCCAACCCAAGACTTGCTCAACTTCAAAAAGGGGGGTACATGAAGTGTCTGGAGATCATGGGACCCCCTCACTTGGACTAATCTAGACAGACCCCCTCAAAAGACAGCAGAGCATGAGACAGAACACCCTCCCTCAACCAGGCATGGTGGAGTCAAAGGGGCAAGGGAACCTTGAAGAGTGTGTGTGTGGGGGGGCAAAATATGTCCCCTCTGTAGCTAACGAGATGGCCTATTCCATGAAGATAGTTCCAGGTGATCAGTCATGTTGGTCTGAAGCAGTAAAACAAATTTAGAGTCTCCGTTTACTTCTTGCAATTAGAAAAGATGCCTTTACACACTTATCTCTTAATTTGACATATTTATTACTTTGGTATCCTTCCCCCCCTTTAATTAATTCAAAACGGACTTCCGGTCTATGGAACAGCGATGGCAGATGCTCTCCCCATAACAGGGGAGGGCGAATCACACACCAGTGGCCTGGAGGGGTGCCACCTCAACGAATGGGATATCGTACAGATGGGCGGTTCCGGAGGGTGTAATCTTTAAGATCAATGATAGAAGAGAGAAGATAGACTCCACTTTTAAAGCTAAAGAATTTTTGAGACGTCAGCTGGGGATAGAGGAAGAGTCCAAAGAGGAAGAAACGAAGTCTAGTGACTCTGCTACCTCTGGAACGGAAGAGGACTCTGTGGCAGAAAAGGGTGCAGGACCTGCCAGAGTGGTATACGATTTCAGAGACAGAAAGCCGAAGTAAAGGCCGAAGGACTTGGAAAATGGCCTTTTGAAGCGAAGATGATCAGAGATTTCTCTCATAACAACTAATAAAATAACACATAAATAGCGAATTGTTATAAGCAAGAACTCTACAAGTATATTGTGATATTAACACTTATAATACTAACATTTTTACTAACAGTGAAAAGATCTCCTCCTCTTGGGGTTTTAGTTTAGTGTGGTTTGCTTTCCTTTCTCCTTAGTTGTAGTCCCTTCCCTAATATTTCTTTGTAGTTTTGTAGTATTTGCAAAATAAAAAATATCCCTCCAGAGCTTAAAAAAAAATTCAAAACCACTGTTGACCTTATAACCTTAGCTTGTTGTTTAGTGCTGGTTTTGCTGTTCAGACCCTGTCTATAAGTTTGAACTCTACCTTCCATTCCAGTGTATTTGAAAAAGTGCACAGGCACAGGAAAGCGCATACCTTGAATAAACGTTTGTTGGTCTTAAAGGCGCCCCGGGACTCTAAATTTGTTCTACTGTCTATTACATGCTTTCCGTACACTTTCTTCAAGCAGCTCAGGACAAGGTTCACTGGTCAGTTCTTCCCTTCCCCTCGTCTGACTTCAAAACAATCTCTGAGGTTGGTTAGGCTGAAAGGGTGTGCCTGGCCCAAAGCGTCATGGTTGAGCAGCGGGAGATGAGAAGAGAGAAGGGATTGGATTTATACCCCGCCCTTCACTACCCAAGGGAGTCTCAGAGCGCCTTACAAACTCCTTTCCCTTCCCCTCCCCACAACAGACACCCCGTGAGGTAGGCGGGGCTGAGAGAGCTCTTTCCAGAACTGTCCTTGAGAGAACAGCTCTGACAGAACTATGGCTTCCCAAGGTCATCCAGCCAGGTGCAAGTGGAGGAGTGGGGAATCAAACCCGGTTCTCCCAGATTAGAGTCCGCGCACTTAACCACTACACCAAACTGGGATTTGAACCCTCGTCCGACACTCCAGTCAAGGCACTGTCACCCCAGAAGCATCTGAGAACTGCTTCTACTCCCTCTGTTGACATTTGGAGCTGTCAGTGCTCCAGAGAGCCTGTCTATCTTTTGCTCAGGTTAAACTGCCATTTATACCCCCCCAAATTCTAAATTCCGGGGTGGGGGGGGAGGATTCAAAACCATAATCTCCCCGATGTGATTTTCAGAAAAGAAACATTGCTGATTGCACAAGTCCTCGGATTTAGGGGTGCTCGAGACCAGTCTGCCGGGGGGAACGAGTCTCCCTTCTCCAGCTCATCGCTAGCCAAGCATGTAAACGCCACCCTCGCTTCTCTGAATCCCTGCGGCACGGCTTTTCTACGCCGGTACCATCAGAATGACCTTTCTTGAGGTTAGCTGATCCCTGGGCTCAAAGCCGGCGAGCCAGATGGCAGAAAGGGATTATTATGGGCCAGGCAACGTGCAATGCAGAGGTCTGTGATCTGAACTCCAGATGTGCAAATTTGGGCCAACAAAGAAGCCGGTAGGGGTGACCCAGACTGGGGCAGAGATGCTAGGAATGAAGGGGAGGGTAACTCTCCCCCCGCTCCTGCATCCCTCTGGGTTGCCTTTGCACTACAGTAAGGAAAAAGAGAAGTATCCCGCCTGTCTTTCCCCCATCAACTGGGGTTCAAAGTAGTCCGGTGGGGTGGTGCAATATCAGGGAGGGAAAACAGCGTCAGACAAGGGTCCCCAAATGTGGTACGCTCTGGGATCTTTTCTGTTGCTTCTGCCCAGCAAGGTTTCTGATTGGCCACTGGAGATCTGATTGGCTGTGCGGGTTTTTAAAACGTTGGCCTCCGTGTGAGACGGGAACGCTGGACTAGATGGACCCTCACTGGTCTGATCCAGCAGGGCTCTTCTTATGTTCTTATGGACTTATATTCTTAAGCACCACAATCAGAAGCAGTTAACCTAGGATATACCCAAGCCAGGAGGCAACATGAGGGGAAGGGCCTCGGACTCTGTACCCTGTTGTTGGACCTCCAGAAGAACTGGTTGGCCACTGTGTGAGACAGGATGCTGGACTAGATGGACCACTGGCCTGATCCAGCAGGGCTCTTCTGATGTTCTTACGCTTTGGCAGCAGCTGCCATCTTGTGGCTGCACCCCCCCCACACCGTGTCACAATTCCAAAGATTCCTACAGGCTCAAAAGGTCTGGGGAACCCTGGTGTAAGAGAAACAGATGTCAACCACCCCCTTCCTCCCTACATCTAGGCTGCTTCCACCCCACCTCCCCATTTTGCAGCACCGTCATTCCAAATCTGACGATGCAATCCTGGAATCTCATACTGATTTTTGGCCCCAGTGCCCCCTTCCCTCCGAGCGGAAGCCCCACGATTAACCTCTGCAGGGCTGCCGCACAGCAAACACCCAGCCCTCCGTGGCGGCACAGGGGCCGAAGCGGTGGCTTCCGTGTGCTTCCCTCCTCCAAACAAACAACAGATGCCTTGCAAATTGCGTTACCGGTCTAGGGAGCTGCCGCTGCCAATCTTAATTTCACAGGTTGCCGATTTCAGAGATTAGAGACAGAAAGCATTAAAAGACAGTGACAGTTAATAAAAATAAAACCCGGGAAGCCTGAGGGGAGGGGGAGGGAAACGGGAGCCGGCTCTCGTATGCTGCAAACAGGAAGCCAAGGAGGGGGACCAGCATCCAAGCAGAGGACGCGGTTACCCACGGACAAGAATGGGCATGAATTATTCTGATCACAAGGATGCACTCAGGCTGCGGAACGTGGCTTGCCTTGTTGGGAGGTTTATTTTTACTTATAAATTATTTTATTTATTCATAATAAATTATTTTATTCATAAAAGAGATTTGCACTGTATCGCTTCCAAGTTAGAACAACATACGCGCTTCAGAGGAGCTCTGCCGGATCGGACCAGTGGTCCATCTAGTCCAGCACCCCGTCTCGCACAGTGGCCAACCAGTTCCTCTGGAGGGTCAACAGCAGGGCATGGAGGCCGAGGCCCTTCCCTGATGAGAACATCAGAAGAGCCTGGCTGGATCAGCCCAGTGGTCCATCTAGTCCAGCACCCCGTCTCGCACAGTGGCCAACCAGTTCCTCTGGAGGGTCAACAGCAGGGCATGGAGGCCGAGGCCCTTCCCTGATGAGAACATCAGAAGAGCCTGGCTGGATCAGCCCAGTGGTCCCTCTAGTCCAGCATCCCGTCTCACACAGTGGCCAACCAGTTCCTCTGGAGGTCCAACAACAGGGCACAGAGGCTGAGGCCTTCATAAGAACATAAGAAGAACCCTGCTGGATCAGCCCAGTGGTCCCTCTAGTCCAGCATCCTGTCTCACACAGTGGCCAGCCAGTTCCTCTGGAGGTCCAACAACAGGGCACAGAGGCTGAGGCCTTCATAAGAACATAAGAAGAACCCTGCTGGATCAGCCCAGTGGTCCATCTAGTCCGGCGTCCTGTCTCACACAGTGGCCAACCAGTTCCTCTGGAGGTCCAACAGGGCATAGAGGCTGAGGCCTTCATAAGAACATAAGAGCCCTGCTGAATCAGACCAATGGTCCATCTAGTCCAGCATTCCCATCTCATACAGTGGCCAACCAGTTCCTCTGGTGGTTCAACAACAGGGCACGGAGGCCAAGGCCTTTGCCTGATGTTGCCTCCTGGCTGTGGGATTCAGAGGTTGACTGCCTCCAAACACTGAATTCTCTTTAGTCCCCATGTCTAGTAGCCACTGACAGACCTCTCCTCCATGAATCTTTCCAATTCCCTTGTAAAGTCGTCTATGCCTGTGGCCATCACTACTTCCTCTGGCCATGAATTCCACATTTTAATCACTCGTTGAATGATTCACAAAGTCACTTCATGATTCACGATACTTCATGATTAAATGATTCACAAAGTTACTTAGATACACTATTAGGGACTGTATAACAGCACCCGTGAACCTGCTTCGGCGGGGAGGGCGGGGTATAAATTGAACAAACAAATAAATAAACCTTTGCAGCATTTCATGTGCCATATTAAACCGTAGCCCTGTTGTGTTGTTTACTTAATGTTCCCATCTTGTTGACTGCACTGACTCGCTCTATGTAATCCGCCTTGAGTCCAAGGGAGAAAGACAGACTATAAATCATGACGGCTGAGGGGTGACATGATCGAGGTTTATAAGATTATGCATGGGCTAGAGCAGGTTGAGAAAGGGGTACTTTTCTCCCTTTCTCACAATACAAGAACTCATGGGCACTCCATGAAATTGCTGAGCGGTCGGGTTAGAACAGATAAAAGGAAGTCCTTCTTCACCCAAAGAGTCATTAACACATGGAATTCACTGCCACAGGAAGTGGTGGCAGCTACAAGCATGGACGGCTTCAAGAGCAAGTTGGATAAGCAGAGGTCCATCGGTGGCTATTAACCACAAGGTATAGATAGGGACTCCAGGGCAAGTGATGCTCTGTTTGGTGTTTGGGGGAGGGGGCCACAGTGGGAGGGCTTCTATTATCCTGGGCCCACTGCTGGACCCCCTGATGGCACCTGGTATTTTTGGCCACTGTGTGACAGAGTGTTGGACTAGATGGGCCACTGGCCTGATCCAACATTGGCTTCTCTTCTGTTCTTATCAAATAAATAAAACTGATTGGAAGATGCCATTCCAGATACAAACAAGGAGGGTGGGGCCTTTGGGGCCACATTCTGAACACAACGTTGGAACAAGAAAGACTAGACTTACGGCCACAGCCTCCAGGATCTGCTTCACCACATTGGCCGCATCTCTCTCGCTGTAGAAGCCCCTCTCTACGATCCTGCAGAAAGGGATGGCAAAGGATTCAAACGCTGTCCCCCCTCCCTTGCTCCCAGCATGCCCGCAAATGCTTACAAAACATCCAGGCCCAGTTCGTTTCAGTAATGTTAGAGAAACGCGGGGATCTGGAGGACGTGGTGGGTTACTAGGCAACCACCTTATCCGGGGCCCAACCCAGAAGCAATAGAGGAAGTGGTTGGTGCTGCTAGGCAACTGCCCACTTCCTTCCTTCCCCCCAATTTTGTATAAAAAGGGAGATGAAAGCAGGGGCCAGGTGAGCCACCTGAAGAACTGTGTGAACGGTTGCTCAGCAACCACCGCGGCTTCACCTACCGGTTGGGCCAGGAAGAAGTGGTCTGGTGGTCACCTAGCAACCCATCATTTCATCTGGCTTCCCACCTATCCCCCTCCCCTCAATATATATAAAGGAATGAAATCAAGGACCAGAAAACGCAGCCCTACGAGTACTGCAGTAAAGGGTTTAATGTTGATTGGCTAAAGTGTCCCTCCGCCAAGAGACTTGAACTGAGAGGCCATCGATGGATGATCTTGGGCAGGTTACTGGTCCTCATGGAGCAGGGTCACCCAAAATTCCAAGAACACCCTAAAGCAGGGGTGTCAAACATATAGCCTGGGGGCTGGATCAGGCCCCCGGAGGGCTTCTATCAGGCCCACAGTGGAACTGCCTGTCTTCTGCTGCTTCTTCCAGTTCTGCTACTGCTGCATCATCATAGGTTTGCAGCTTACAGATACACACAGCTGAACAGCATACCCAAGATTGAAACAGCACAGACATTTATATGCAATAATTCAGAGCAAGAGGTGTCCGTTATCCGACACTGTTAAATAAACAAAATATCGCAAGAGTGCTCATGTTTTAAGCATGTTTTTATTTTAAGTTAAAAAAACACCTTTGTGTTTGTGTCCTTTATAAAGTTTATATCTCCCCTACCTGGCTTTACATTTTATGACACACATGGCCCGGCCCAACAAGGTCTCATTTATGTCAGATCCGGCCCTTGTAACAAATGAGTTCGACACCCTTGCCCTAAAGCGTTTTGTCCTCATGCAGGTGTATGCTTCACCTGGGATTACAAAAACCTCTGTCGCCCTCGGTGTCTCTGCTATGCCAATTTCTTGATCTGCACAAAGCGGGGGTCGGGTGACACACACGGTATTAGATCTACAGACAGAATTTGCATGCTATATTAATGGGGGAAGTTGACTCCACATGGCACTCTCCAACCCCTTTGCAAGTCTGATTTCTTGTTGGAGTTTTTCGGAAGCATACGCTGTGAAAACAGTTTGCCGGCCAAAGATCCTCCATTAACATTAGGGGCACATTCACGCAAAACATGGTTGCCAGCCCCCAGGTGGGGCCTGTAGATCTTCTGGAATTACAACCCATCTCCAGGCTACAGAGATCAGCTCCCCTGGAGAAAATGGCTGCTTTGGAGGGTGGGCCCTTCGGGATCGTACCCCACTGGAAGACCCCCCCCCCTCCAAGCCCCGCCCTCTCCAAGCCCCACCCCCAAAATCTCCAGGAATTTCAAAACCCGGAGCTGGCAGCACTAACACAAAACCGTGGTTCCCTCACACGGACAAGGAAGAGCGAGAATGCCAGTAACGAATGTCTGCCTGTCACATGCAGCTTAGAGGGGGCACAGAATTTTGCCTGAAAGGAAGGAAGCAATCTCTTCACTGAGGCTGCAGTCACCCCCCCCCCTAAATAATCCACTTTCAATGCCCTTTCCAACTGGATTTTGCCAGTTCACATAGTAAAATCCAGTAGGAAAGTGCACTGAAAGTGGATTATTTAGTGCAGGGGTGTCGAGCTCATTTGTTATGAGGGCCAGATCTGACATAAATGAGACCTTGTTGGGCCAGGCCATGTGTGTCATGAAATGTAATGCCAGGTAGCAGAGATATAAACTTCATAAAGGACACAAACACAAAGGTGTTTTTTTTACTTAAAATAAAAAAAAATGCTTAAAACATGAGCACTCTCTGCAATATTTTGTTTATTTAACAGTGCCTGATAACTGACACCTCTTGCTCTGAATTACTGCATCAAAATGTCTGTGCTGTTGCAATCTTGAGTACGCTGTTCAGGTGCGTATCTGTAAGCTGCAAACCTACGATGACGCAGCAGCAGCAGAACTAGAAGCAGAAGCAGAACACAGCCAGTTCCACTGCGGTCCTAATAGAAGCCCTCCGGGGTAAATGTGTAATTGATGTTTATGTAAATTGATTGGGGAAGTCCAATAAAACAATATTTAAAAAGAAGAAGAAGCCCTCCGGGGGCTTAATCTGGCCCCCGGGCCACATGTTTGACACCCCTGATTTAGTGTATGACCTCAGCCTGAGAGGCCTGTGCAGGAATTAAAGCATGCAGGGAGGCAAAGCCTGAAAACTGCCCTCCCTCCTCTTAAGGACATAAAAAAATCACTCTCCTTCACGTGTGCAAAGCACAGGGGTTTTGCTTTTTAAACCCCAGAAGCACCCTAAACATAAGCAACTGCAGATCCGGAGACGCAGAACAAACAGAATAAATATCCCATAGGCAGCGAGCAGGAGAAAGGACGGAGAGAGGCCATTGGGAGCCCAAACTGGGCAGAGCGGGGGTGACGGCTGGGAATGGCCGCCAGGAACAAGCCATTTCCCCTGGGCTCTGCCCCATCCTGGGCGCAACCACCCTTCCCCGCGTCTTGCTTGCATTTGTCTCCTTTCATTAAGGACCTGCCAGTTAAGCCAAGGCACCTCGCCGGTTACCTGTCGAAGAGCTCTCCACCCGTCACGAGCTCCAGGATGAGGGTGATCTCCGAAGGGGTCTCAAAGATCTCTCGGAGTTTGATCTTTAAGAAAGAGAGGGAAAAGAACGAGACAGCTTGGTGCCAAACAGATGCAACAAAAAGAGAGAGGCGAAAACCCAGAGACTCCGTGCAGCTCCGTTCAACGCTCCCTCTAAGCCAGAGGTTCCCAAACTTATTTAGCCTACTGCCCCCTTTTCGGGGGGGGGGAGTAATCAGTGCCCCCCTCGAAATCTACCTTCAAGAAGTGGACAAAAAGATGCAGTGACAAATTTGCACAGAGTAAAGAAAGATGTTGTTGGCCTGAAGCCAGAGGCCAGCAGCAGCCACCACACAATAGCCCAGCAGCAACACCAGTCATACAACACCAGTCTTACAATTTGCAAATACATGGCTGTGATTGGCTGTGGGGACCCGTCTCCACCCTCCACCTCCCTCCCTGATCCCAGGGAAGACCAGGAGAAGGCAGGAGAAGGCTGCTTTAGGTAGGTTCTGGACTCTTCTTTCTTTATGCTTCCACCGCCCCCTTATTTTTATTCAACGTCCCCCAATTGCACCCAAGGCTCCTACCACCCACCTGGATTGTTCCAGCACCCCCCAGGGGATGGTATTGCTCAGTTTAGAACCAATGCTCCCTCTAAACTGTAAAGAAGAAGAAGAGGAAGAGGAAGAGGAAGAGGAGGAGGAGATTGGATTTATACCCCGCCCTTCACTACCCAAAGGAGTCTCAGAGCGGCTTACAAACTCCTTTCCCTTCACCTCCCCACAACAGACACCCTGTCAGGTAAAAGAAGAAGAAGAGATTGGATTTATACCCCGCCCTTCACTACCCAAAGGAGTCTCAGAGCGGCTTACAAACTCCTTTCCCTTCCCCTCCCCACAACAGACATCCTGTGAGGAATGCTCCCTCTAAGCTGTGGCGTCCTGTGAGCAGAAATTCTACTTTGTGACCCACTGGCATTAAAGCTGTGAATGAACAATTTGGCTGCTGCATAAATTAGTTTGCTCTGGAGCCATCCCTTCCTGGGCTGAGAGAAAAATGTGTGAGCCGGGGGCTAAAAAACTGAGTTAGCTCACACTAACTCAGCTTAGAGGGAACCCTGCCTGTGAGGTAGGTGGGGCTGAGAGAACTCTTGCCAGAAACTGCTCTTTTTCAAGAACAGCTGTGCCAGAATTATGGCTTGCCCAAGGTCATCCAGCCAGGTGCAAGTGGAGGAGTGGGGAATCAAACCCGGTTCTCCCAGATTAGAGTCCACGCACTTAACCACTACACCAAACTGTGGAGTCTTGTGAGCAAAAATTCTACTTTGTGAGCAACTGGCATCAAAGTTGTGAGCGAGCGATTTGGCTACTGCATCAATGAGTTTGCTCTGGAGCCATCCTTCCAGAGCGAAGACAAAAATGGGTGAGCCGGAGGCTAAAAAACTGAGCTAGCTCACACTAACTCAGCTTAGAGGGAACACTGGTCAGTTCTCATTTCGGGCTACAGCCCCCGGCTCAGCCCTGTAGGGCACAGTAGACAGACGTGTCCAGGGTGGGGTGTTAACAATATTCAAAGACTGCAACCGAAGTAAGAGCAAAAGGGTAGACCTGTGAGACAGTGAGACCCTGGCGGGGCTGCCAACTGACCAGAAAAACTGGCCTGCCTGTTCCTCTGCCTTGGGCGGACAGCCGATGAGCAAATATCAGCACATGGAAACGTCACAGCCTGGAGACTGTCTGCAGAGTAAACGACTACAAAAGGCACAGGAGAGAGGGAGAGTCAAGAAGTCAGAACCGAGCATGTCCCCAGTATCTTTGGTGGCGGAAAGTGTCATCAAGTCAAAACCGACTTATGACAAGTTCCAATGTTCCCTCTAAGCTGAGTTAGTGTGAGCTAGCCCACAGTTCTCTAGCCTCCGGCTCACACGTGTTTGCCTTAGCTGAGGAAGGAGGGCTCCAGAGCAAACTGATTGATGCAGCAGCCAAATCACTCGCTCACAACTTTAATGCTGGTAGCTCACAGAGTAGAATTGTTGCTCACAAGACTCCGCAGCTTAGAGGGAGCCTTGCTTCCGGGTGATGTCATTGCGTCAGGGACATCATGAGCTACATCCCACCCCCCCTTGGAGCGCCCCC